AGGAACAGTTCTACTCTATACAAATGGGGTGACCATTAGTTGGAACTGATTTGATGGTAATAAATGAAACAACATAATAATAGAAAGTGATGCTGCATAATATCCTGTCACAATATATCTAAAAATGGTACATTTTTAGAGAAAAAGTGACTAATACCTAGCCATCATGCATCACTGAAGTACAAATGAATTTAAAAATCGTGATGAAACGTGATCGAAATGGTGGGCAAACAGGAGAACAAGGCCTATGAGAAAGTGTACTATTATGGAAATGTCAGGAATAAAGAGCCAGCTTACCTTCAGGAGTGCTAGTTCTAGGCATGGATTCAGGCTGATAATAGGACACATCCAGACCTAGCACTTTTATGTTAAATATCTATGTGTAGCAATATAACTGTGTATAGAGAAATTCATAAGAGAAGTCATACAATAAAGAACTGTGATATTTGGTCACCCCAAAACACATTTGGTGTAGAACATCTGACTGAGCCTAACATAGAGGAAGAGGTAGCAGGCTAGAATGGAAAAGATTAAATGGTTGAAAGAAATCAGGAAGACTTGCAGAAGGAAAAGTAGAAAAGTGTAGAAAATATGTATTTGTGTCTATAGAATTGGTGTCACTATATAATCAGTGTTATTCTAAAGAAAACCATAAAAATTTTCCTTAACTATTAAGCACTCCATTCTGTGTTTTTTTTTCTCAGAACTCTCTCCAAGAATTTTCTTGACTTTTATGATTCTATTATGCTTATTCAGTAAAACATTGTTTCCATGCATATGAAAATTGGCTACCTCTGGCCCCATCCTGAAAAATGGGGTATTTCAAATCACATGTGAAGTTTATGTAATGCTGAATACTCTGTTAACAACAACAACAACTGCATATTTGCCTTTTGTTCCCCAAAACATGTTCATAATAATAGTGTACACAATTATGAAAACTTAGGTAATTTCTTAGAACCAAGAGACTGACTGAAAATTCCATGAGTTTATTAACTGTAGTATATGCAGAGAACTGTGAATTAACATTGAAAAATCTTCTATACAGGCACCCAAACTCAAATACTTTCATTTTCAGGCATGAATGCAATATGGAATGGTTTCAAAAACTACAATATTGTAGTTTTTGAAAGTTCATGTTACATGTCCAAATGGAGAAACCCTACTCATCTTTAGTCAATTGGTTCTACTTGGAAATAAAACCCACAAAGTTCCCAGATCCTCCAATAGTCTAAGAAAAACCTGGATGGGAAATGTCTCACTTTTTGAAATACTGAATAAATTAAACAAAACAACAGAGCCATGTTTTTTTAAACAGTAAACTAAGAAGTTTTGCAGGAAATGAACTATTCTCTGAGAACAGAGAAGTAATTACGTGGGTTTTGGATGTTCTTGCAGGACAGATATATTTTATATGCTTAAAGTTTAATTGAAGAACAAGTTCTAATGCTAAACAAGTTGAAAAACATTACCTTACAGGTGAGGAAAAGTGTCTGGACCAAAACAAGATTTAATTATTATCTTTAGTTTATATAATCAGACATTGTATTACACTGGGCAAATCTGCTGCAAAAGACCTCTTTAAAGTGCAGAAGAGCAAAGATGTCTCTTTGAAGACTAATGTGGGCCTAACCCAAGCCATGGTATTCTCAGTCACCTCATATGCACATGAAAATTGCACATGAAAATATTTTCATATGCACATAAAAATAAGTAAGACAGAGGAAGAGTTGGTATTTTTGAATTGTGGTGTTGGTTCAGAATACTGAAAGTCCCATGGACTGCCAGAAGAACTAACAAATTTGTCCTGGAAAAAGTGCAGTTGGAATGCTCTTTGGAAGCAGCAATGGCAAGACTTCGTCTCTATTACTTTGGTCATGCTGTCGGAAAGGACCACTCCCTGGAGAAGGGTATCATGCTTGGTAAAGTGGAGGGTCAGTGGAAAAAGGGAAGGCCCTCAATGAGATGGATTGACACTGGCTGCAACGATGGGCTCATGAATAACAAAGATTGTGAGGCTGGTGCAAGACCGGGCAGTATTTTGTTCTATTGTACACAGGGGTAGGTATAAGTTGGAGCCAACTTGATGGCAACTAACAACAACTACATATGTAATCTTGAAGTTTAACCTACCTAACTGCCTAAGGCATTTGACTCCTAACTAGAAGGTTGATGGTTCAAACCCGCCAACCATTCCATGAAGGAAGATAGGGCAATCTAATTCTGTAAAGATTTACCATTTGGAAACCTAATGGGGGTCGCTATGAGTTGGAATCAACTCAGTGGCAGTGGGTTTGGTTTAGTGGTTTTTTTTTTTTTTAAATCTCAATTCCTTGGTAAATTTCTTGGGGCATCCTAGAATGCTACTTGGTTTTCTTCTATATTCAATTCTGTAGAACTTACTGTGGTACGTTTTTACAAATAATCAATTTTTCATCTAACATTTGAGTTGAGAATAAAGGAACAGAATAAAGGGATAGCAGGAAATTGATTATTGAGATTTTTAATAATATATACTTTGTCTTTATTTCAAATGCTGTGATTAATATCAATTAATTGGAATGCCATTCTAAAGATAACATTTAAAAGAAAGCATTTACTTTGAACCAAACCAAGGTATCTTCCGCTAACTACTAAATGAGTGCTTCCACAATATGCCAAAAAAAAAAAAGGAGAAAAGGCTTCATTTTTAGTACCGTAATTACTTCATAGGAGGAAAGTGAGAAATCACACAGCCCACAACGTTTTTTCTTTCAGGGGCTTTCCACTTCTAATATTAAGAAAAATGGTGACAGGATTGAGTGCTTAGATCATAATGCCCTATGTCTTGGTGGCACTGTCATTATGAAGATCCTGCTGCTGTTGTTCTTAGATGCCCTCCAGCCAATGCTGACTCATGTCAGAGTAGAACTACAGTCCACATAATTGTCAAGGTCGTTCCCTTTCAGAAGCAGATCACCATGGCCGGTGAGCTCATATCACCAACCTGTTGACTAGTAGTTGAGCACTTAACCATTTGTGTCACCCAGGTACCCCTATAATGTTCTGTGAAGGAAATCTAAGGAGTTAATAGAAGATTAATCTTATTCTAATTTAAAGGCCATGCTCCATTCATGGGGAATAAGGAAAAAAAAAATTTTCTTGTTACCATGTTGACCAAATAGCATACTTTTTAACAGTTACAGACACATATTACAATATCAGCGTTTTGTTTTTTTTTTCCCCCAGGAAATAGTTGTAAGAAAACTTAAATGTCTGCTATATATCAACTACTTTCCAACATATTTGAAATTATAATGTTACAGAATTTTTTAAAATTTTAAAGATAAAAAGTATCCTATTACTCATTTATACAACGACAACTTACAACTGAAAACAGAAGCAAATGTAGGAGTTTTATTTTATAATTTCAAAAATTAACCTCAGATACATTAAATCTAGGGGGTTATTTTAATATCTGGAAAACTAAATATATTCCTTTTCCACAAAAGAGTAAATTAAGAGAACAATAGCTATATTAGCTATCAAAAGCCAATATTACATATAGGAAGCACTTGGAATTTAATTGCTTGTAAAACCACTTACAGACATTTACATGGAATCTATATTTATCTCTTAGAACTTATCAGAGAAACTATCTAAATTAATCTATACAGATTAGTTTTATATCAGCAGATTCTGCAATATATCTAACCTTCTCTTTTAACTCTTTTTAAGAAATACATTAATTTTTAAGGAATGAATTCATTATCAGTATATTAAAGGGCGAAACCTTGAACATTCAAGGAAAGTCTTGTTAACAATATGATACTTTTGTGAATTTTGTTCCATGTACTATAAGATAGAAATATCAAGTAACACTCAACTTTGGAATATTACTTTCATTTTCTTCTTTTGCAGTTGAATAATAAAGAAAATATCTCTCAATAATAATAATCAGAAGAAAGTTGAATATGTAACAATTTACTAGTATAGAATTGAGCTGTTAACAATTATTATTGACTATCATTAAGCATATTATTGACTATCATTAAGAAAAGAAGCATCCATAATTAGAAACTGAAGACCCTCAATGAAATTCATAGCCCCCTATAATTTTCATTTCAACAGTATAGCAAATATTCAGCAGATGGAAACCTGCCATCTACTGTACTATTTATAAGAAATATGAAGTTGGATAAGTTATAGTCCTCATACAAAAAAAGAAAAGAAAGAAAGAAAACTCACAACGCTATGATAAGATATGAAAATCATAATGAGGTCAAAATGTGTATCCACCTGTCTTTATACCAAACCATAGTTAAACCACTGCACTTAAGTAAACTTACATTGTATTTTATTGCCCATGTTCTTAAGGAATGCCTTTATGTATAATAATCAGTAAAGTCCAAACATCCATTTTATATGTTTAAAATAGCTAATTTATAAACTTTGGCTTAAAGACATCCATATAATCTTAAAGGACAAAATAAGACCTTCATATTTGTAACACACATGGCCTCCTAAACTAAAGAATTCTAATAGTCATACTACTTTCGTACTTAAAATGTGTTTGAAGAATGATTCCAAATACCAATTCTTTAGTTAAACTATTATTTTGCAAATATTACATAAGCAATTATTATTGACCCAGAATTGCTAATGAGAATTTAACCTTTAGATGGAGACTGAATGATTCATTTTGAACTTAATACTTAAGTTAACAAAGATAGAATACTTTAAAATTATAACTTATGTGATATCAAACTATTATAATAAATATGTCTGTCTCTCAAATTTAAGACAATGTGTTCCAAATAGTATTAATTAATGCAAATCTTTATCATTATTTAGCAACCAGAATGACAATAGGGAAAAAGTATTTCAATATTTGAAATCAGATCCCTAAATATTAAAACAGTTTATATCATCAATTATAAAAGAAAGTTTAAAATTTTAAATTAACTATTGTAATTTAACTATCTTAAAATATTATAAACATTCCTATATGCTTGTTTTACCTTGAAAGGCAATGGCTCTTCAGTAAGAGGACTAACAGGAAGTGAAGTGGTGCTACTTGCTGGGCTCATATCTGAACTCTGAGACAAAAAAAAAAAAAATGAGTTAAAGAGATACACTTTTGTAGATATTTTTATTACTACTTTAAAATTGAAAACTTCTTACAATAAAGAGCAAATAAATGAATGAAATATAAGTGTGGTTTAATTTTAATTTGTATAAATGAATCATTCAGAAATAAATATTTATCTGGAAAAGTAGTCAAATTATCACCTTTTGGTGTATGCTTCAAGTACATTTCACTAAATAATCATTTTTTTGGGTATTAGAATGGCATTTAGCATTATGTTTGTTTAATTTTTTATGTCTTTTTCCTTTTCATTGAAAACAAAAGTATGTCGATTCACTATGTTTCTATTTTGATATATTTCAGGCAGATTTTGAAACGTTATTTTTTTATTGTTGTTGTTGTTGTTATGTGCCGTGGAGTCAGCCCTGACTCATAGCGACCCCTCCTTGGGTTTCTGAGGCAGTATCACTACGGAAGTAGGATTGCCCAACCTTCCTTCCGAGGAGGTCTAAATTATTTTACACATTTTTTTTTCATTATGAAAGTCATAACTGCCATTAATATGCAGCTATAAAATGTAGAAATATTAATTTTTAAAAATCTTATATTCATAGCCTCCTGACATTCTATAAACTTTTTTATTATATTCAGTTGCCCAAACATTTTCAAAACAAAACATTTATAAAAATGTAAGAGAATTATTGGAATGGCAGTAATGTTTTCCATAAACATGGCATTTTTTTCCTAAGCCTTTTAAAACTCAACTAAAATATATTAAATGACAAATTGGCTTAAAGAAGAGAAATGTGGGTTATAAGCTTGTCATTTGTCAGTAATTTTCTGAAACCAAGAACAAGATACTGACAATGAGTGGCAAAAGTTATTTTATTATATTCTTAACCAGTTCTCTCAGAGGAATTCTTCATTTAAATAAACAATGAAAAAAATGCACACCTACATTTTTCAGCTTAGTTTCTAAGTATACTGATTTATATAGGCATACAAACAGAAAATTTTACAGTAAAGATTAAATCAAAAGAACAGATTTTGGTTATAATAACGGGTCAAGAAGACAAATTAGGCTAACTTCACTTAAGTGAGGAACAAAAGAACACATTCAAACAACAGATGCTATAAATGGTACTAAGAGTCTATTCAGAGATTATTTTCAATTCATTTGTTTCAATTGTATAATGAAGAAACCAGGTACTTAAGAAAATATGCGTTACAACAGCATTAGTTCTGACTAATTAGTTTAGAAACTATTTATAGGAAATATATATAGAGAGAGAGGGTGAACTCTGGTGCCTTAGTGGATAAGGCATTTGGCTGCTAACTAGGAGGTCAGCAGTTGAAATCCACTCTGTGGAGGGAAGAAGGGCAATTTAATTCTGTAAATATTTACAGCCTTGCAAACCCAACAGGGTTCGCGATGAATTGGAATAAACTCGAAAGCAGTGGGTAGTTTTGGTTTTGGTAGTTTATTAAACTATCATACCCTTAACAAGAATAATTCCTGAAATAGAAATGACATTGAGTTGTAAACATTTAGAAGTCTGACTCATATTCATGCAGGATATGAAAGGTTTTGAACTTCCATAAGATGATGAGCGCAACATTCTTTCACTGCAAACTTCTTTTAGGGTTGAGTCCTTTCACAACTTTCCAGAAGTAAATGTGTCATTCTAAAGACTGCAAAAAGCAGAGTCCAAAATTTACATCGTGTAATATCGATTCTTAGAATGACATTTTTAGAGAAAACTATAGCTTTAACTTTCAAATCCATCTTACAATGTGACACTTTTAATTCTATTGCTCTTTGGAAGTCTTGAGATAGATGTTTTTTAAAAACAAATCAATCTTACACAATAACATCTGATGAAGCACATTTAATTATGAAGCTGAGAAATATAAGGCAACAAATAGAATAAAAGTATGCTCCTTTTTAGCTTTTTTTCCCCATTTGCTTTTCAGTGATCTGTAATTTAGGTGTCACTTCAATTTGTTCATCCTTTTAGATAAAATATTAACAGTAAACTTTTTGAAAAGTCATTTGCTCTCCCTGTGTAATAACATAATATAAAATTCAAAATTCAAGTTCAGTTTTTGAATATTCTTAATAAAATGCATAAATTGGGGAGTTACTTCTTTATCTAAGAAAAGGAGATGTTTTAAAAAGTATTTTACATATTTTATTATATAAGCTCTGATTTCATTTTCCCCTTGTTACTGAGTAAAATGTGTTAATTTTATTAGATTAAAATATTCTTTATTAACAAAGAGTGACCAGATCTTAGCTTCTAATACCATTTTAGGATAGAAGGAACCAAGGCTCCAGGGATGATTCCAGGAATGGAACAGTGAATCTGTAAGATGGGCTTGGAGCATCTTGTAGCTCTAGAAAGAAAGGAAGTGTTCCAAAGGGTGGGGGGAGGATAGGTGCAGGTCAAAGGGACAAAGAAGCCAAAGTTAAAGAGTTCCCAATGGCCAAATCTGGAACAATTTGATCAACAAAGTAAATAGAATATCTGTGAGTCCATACTTAGATAAATGAGTGAAGAAATAAATTTATATAATTTTGTGAATAAATAAATGGGGGAAAAGAGGCCAAACTTCTTTACAAAAGAATGTCAAACAATTTATAAAGATACTCTCTCTCTTTAAGAGGTAGAACTTAATCTCCCCTAACTACCATGGGTATTCTGCAAAAAAGCCTTATCTGTCAATGTCATCATGGGCAAGGTCACAACTGGCTGGTGAGGCATGATGAGTAAATATAATATGGTATCCTCAATGACATTCTGGAATACAGCAAAGGACATTAGGGGGAAATTGTGAAATCTGAATACAATTCGAGTTTAATGAGTAGCAATGTACCAGTGTTAGTTACTTAGTAGTGACAAATGTATGCTGGGGATGTTAGGATATTAACAACAGGGAGAACTCAATGAGGAATATGTGGCAATTCTCTCTACACTCTTTCCATTTTTTCTGTAAATCTTACTATTGTAAGATGAAATATATTTTTATAATATTCTTTATTAGAAACATAACAAGGCTTTTCAAGATTATAATACATGGCTGTAATTATACTCCTAGCTTCTAAGCTTTCATCAGGGCTTTTGTCACTTCATAAAAATAAATTTTGACAGACATTTTTACTGGGATGCATAACCACTCCACCAAGGAATCTTTAATCTCCTAAGAAGATCTCCTTGAAAAACCGATGTTAAATAGATTTGCATGCTTTCATGTTCCATATGGGAATGTTGAAAGACTGCTTCAGCCATATAAAATGAATATGCTTAAGGTGCTTGGTTGAGTGAGTTTACATTATTAATATTTACTAGATGCCATATTTCTATAGGACAGGTCCATTAATTATACTTCCCCTAAAAGCATAATTAATGGGTTTGTCCTATGGGATTAAAGATTATTTATAAAGATTTCTTGAAGTGAAACATGACCAATTTAGTCCAAATTGATTGGGTACATGAACAGATTTGGGTGTAAATGAAATGTTTTACTTTTTGAAGCCACTGGGGCAAATTTATAAAGAGATTTGCAAGATTTAATAAATTTAAATGGTCATTAAAATTGGTTAGCTCTAACTCTACTTTCCTAAGCTTATATATAGAAAACATGTACATCTATGTTATAGTACATTGCTGGTTTAATAATCACTAGAATTATTACTGATAATGTATTTACGACAATTTAGATTTCTGTAACATAAATGTGCTATCCCTTCTGAAAATGCTTTCCTTCTTTAGACATGTCAATTTTCAGTGAAAATTCAGTCATTTATTCAATCTGCTTTTCAAAAAATTACACATTAGGCTTCCCTATCTACACATTGGGAATTTTGTCATCACTCACCCCACTTGGGAGCTCTAGTGGCGTAGTGCCTCTGGCATTTGACTGACAACCAGGAAGTCTGGTGGCTCAAATCCACCAGCCATTCCTCAAAAGGAAGACTGAGCAATCTACATTGTAGAGGTACCACCTTGGAAACTCAAGGAGGGGTCCTTATGAGTTGGAATCAACTTGACTTCCGTGAGTTTGTTTTTTTTTTTGGTTTTTATAAGCAATGGTTAGACTTGCTGTTGGCCCCAGAACTTAGTAAGAAAAAGAAAGATATCTAACTATGGCACAGAATGTCTTTTTTGTTGTTGTTGACTAATGATTGCTAATGTTTGTTCTTTATCAAATATATACTACAAATGAAAATGACTCAAAAGAATTGGGATCCTTCAATCCAGGACACTGATTGAAAAATTTCAGGAATTATACTGTAAAGAATAATGTTAGTCATTAGGAACCTAATTATAAATACTTATATCCTAAGCCCTAGTTGTTTGTTATTTCAGTAGTAAACCAAAATGAGAGCACAAGTAAATTAATTCATTCTCTAAATCAGGACAATCCTTTGCACTTGGGCCTATCATTACTCCCTTATCCATTACTAGCTATATTTTTTCCAAATGAAAATGTAAGCTTTTTTCTTTATATTTTCTTCTGGTTGATATCTGCTGTTTTTGCCTTCCCAGAATCCAAAACTTTTTTCCATGTTAAGAATTTTTTTTTTCTCCTTGACATAAGTGTCAGCATATAATCAAGGACTGGTCAACCTCTCCCACTGAATGCAAAATAGTACAAAAGCCAAACTATTTAAATGAGCATCATATCTGGGAGTTTTGTCAGATATTGAGGAAAAGATTCTCTCATTGAGCAAATGCTTCTGAGTCATAAGAATGTGCTTATGTCTGAACTTCCAGAGGCCACCAGTGTATAGAATATCCCCAGGAACAAATCCCACATAGGAAATGAAAACAAATCCTAAGAAGGTATATGACATTCTGGATCCAGTTGTACATGAACCAATAATTTTGCTTAAGAATCAAAAGTCCTTTGTAATATATGAATAAGCACTATCATTGTGATATTAAGTTATGGAGCCTAAAATTTAGAATTAGCTTAAATAAGTGGAGTGGAGATCTATGATACTAT